TATGCTCTGCTGCCTGGGATCCCCAGGCGTGCCATGCGGCCCTGCCTGTAATCTCGGCATGGCGCGCCCAGGTTCCCTGGGGCCAGCAGAGCATGTAGGTCTGGGGATCAAACTTTGGACCTTGTGCTTGCCAGCTAGGTGCTCATGCCGCTGAGCTATCTATATAAAACTTTTTGTTTTAATTTTAGGGAAGGGTCTACAGGGTGTTCAGGGTCTCACTACTAGATCGAACTCTTAGTGATCTGCCTGTTTACAGCCTCCCAAGAGCTGGGATTACAGGCGTGCACCACCACGCCCAGTCTCAATTGCTGTTTCAGTGTGTCCTGGGGATGAGGCTGGCACTGCAGGCCCAGGGATTGAACCCCTGGCCCCTGTGCCTGCTTGCAGGTGCTTTAACCCACTGAGCTATTTGGCCGGCCCTTATAAAACTGTTTAATGTCTTCGTTTTTTGAGACATGGTCTCACTAGTTCAAGCTGGCCTCCAATTCTTCCTGCCTTAGCTTTCTAGATGTTGGAATTACAGCATACCGGCTTAGAGACATTTTTTAGATATCAAACATGCTAAAGATGGCATCTGTGAGGTAAACTGTTTGTTAGCTTGACTGGGCCACAGGGTATCCAGACAGTTGGTCAGGCACACTTCTGGGAAGTCCAGTGAGGGCGTTTTAAATTGCTAGACTGGGCAGAACACTCTCTCTCACTTGGGGAGGCCGCACCTTATCCCTGGAAGACCTGAACAGAATACAGAGACTGAGTAAGACAGGGTTCCTTTTGCCTGGCTGGGACATCAGCTTTCTTTTTTGTCTTTGCACTTGACTAAAAGTGTGACTCTCCTGGGGTCTCAAGCCTGCCAGCCTTCCGCTGGCTCTCCTGGTCCTCCACCCTCAGCACTTCTCCAGGCCCCTGCAGGTCCTGGAGGGTGTCGACCTCCTCGTTTCCTGCTAAATTTCCCTAGCCGTGCATGTGCACGGTGTATAGGACCGTGTCTCTGGAGAGGCCCGAGCAATGTGGCTGGCATCATTCCAAGATCAGCAGGCCCTCCAGGGCTTGTGAGGAGCTAATGTGCAAGTGTACCTCAGTGGCAGCCCCGTGCCCCTGGTGGGGATGGGGCACGGATACCCCAAACAGCCATGACAGACAAGCTGTGTCTCCAGGAACACCAAGCACTACTCAAGGAAACCAAGTCAGAAGGTGGCAGGGAGCAGGAAAGGGGGGCAGGGGCAGGAGAGGCACAATGCCCGAGACAGGGCCAGCGTCAGCAAGCCTCCCTTTGTCCACTGAGAGCAGGTGAGCTTGACTTCAAGCCATTTCTTAGGTAGGATTTAGAAACTCCTGCAAGAAACGGCATGAGCTAGGAGTGTAGCTCAGAGGCACAGTGGCTGTCTAGCTTGAGCAAGGCCCTGGTTCAGTCCCTGGCCCTGAAAAAAGGAGGAAAACAGTGCTGGTCAGTGGCCTCATATCTGCACATCACAGAGTGGAGAGAGGCTGCAGCAAGCCTCTCTGACTGGGGTCGGCAGGGCCCTTGTGCTGGAACACCCACAGTAGTACCTGAAGCCCAGACTCGATGTTACCACCCTCACCCTGGGCTGCAGGACGGCACTCCAGGTCCTCAGCCAGAGTGCAGGGAAAGGGCCATGATGGAAGCTGGGCAAAAAGCCATCCAGGAACCTCATTAGTCAGTGTGAGTCTGGGCCATGTGCACCCCAGGGAGGGACAGCCTGAAAGGAAAATGGAGAGAGGAGATGGACAGAACGCGGTCCCTGGCTCACGGTTTGCGGCCCAGACTCTGCCAAGCCCTCAGGTCTACCCTGATCTTTCCAGTTATGGGAACCAATCAGTTCTGTCTACTTAAAAGAGCCAAAGCTCTGGATCTGGTGGCTTTTGATCACATGCTGGCATGAACCTCGATGTTTCGGCTCTCAGGGTCTAGCCACCTAACACCTGCCACTGCGATTCAATGCATGACACCACGGCTAAGGCACCAGAGCCACCCGTCCTCGCTGCAGCCACGTCAACCGCATCACACTTTCACCAAAGCTCACCCATTCTTCAGGGCTCAGGAAGCCTCCTTGACTGCCAGATTTGGCTCTGCAGGGTCTTTTCCTGGAAGCCTCGTGGAAAGCCCTAGAGGGCGGGGACTGAATGTGTTCATCTATTTGCACCCTCCACAGGACCGCTGGAGTCAGTATATGAATGAAGATTGCATTAAAAGCCAAGATCCCGTGGCCCAGTGAACATACGAACAAGGCCCAGAGGACCTATAAGCAAGAATGACTTAGGTCTGTGGGCCAATAGAAATCGTGGGTACTCACACACACATGCCGATTTCCCTTCACCCAGAGATTAGGAGCCAAAGGTGGGGAAAAATAAGGCACACGCCTCCTTATAAAAACAAACCCTTCTGGGTGTGGTGATGTCTGCCATCCCAGGACTCAGGAGGCTGAGGCAGGAGGATCCCATAAGTTTGAGGCTAGCTGGGTTACACGAGTTTAAGGCTTGCTTGAACTACACAGTGAGGCCCTGTCTCAAAAAACAAAACCGGAGAAAACCCCATCCACCAGCTGTGTTAGTTGATAAATTGTGTCAACTTGGTGGAATCAGCTCTGGCAGATCTCAGCGTGGGGGCCTAGCCCTGCAGGTGGGCAGGGCCCAGGAACTGAGAAAGGCAGGAAGCCGCCCTGCCTGGTTTCCTGCCTTCCGTGGAGAAGTCTCAGTCTTCGGAGCTTAGTCTTCGGGCCGCGCCACTTTGGAGGAGCTCCGAACTTCACTGTGGAGTGCTGGTCTTCGCAGTCAGCGCGGAAGGAAGAGGGAGGCTTGATGAACGCCGCTGCAGCTGCTGCTCCTCCTCTGCTCTTCATTGTTTTCTGCCGCACGAACTGCTGTTGTTTGCCTTGGAGCCAGAGGAACATGGACTGAACCCTCCAGTAACTGTGAGCTAAATAAACCTTTCCTTCCTTCATTTTGAGTGTCGGGTATTTGTCCCAGCAACGAGTAAAAAGTAAGACACCAGCCCAAGGTTATTCCGGAAGAAAATTCTCCCTTGGTCACGGGGCCATTACAAATTCAGGTGAGAGACACCCACATTGGAGGTGGAATGGGACACCTACACAGTCCACCCAGCCAGAAAGAGATGGCTCTTTACGGGGCCAGTTGCCCTTTTTTGCAAGGAAAAGAACAGGAACCTTCTCAACAGGGGTGCAGCTTCGGCACTGAGGCTCTACCCTCAGGCCCCTAGAAACCCTGAAACAACGTGCATTCACAATTGTCCCCAAGAGTTCCTTCATTCCCTCACTCCTTGGACACACTCGGCTAGATGGGCCACATCCTCGACCACCCACTGTGCTGCCTGAGTGGGCGGGCCAGTCCCCCGCAGCCCTTAGGCTCTGGGACCTGTACCATCTGTCCTGAGATCACTGCCCTTCCTTCAAATCCTACAGCGAGGAACATCATGTTTCCTAAGCCACTGTTCCTAGTAGAGCCTTCGCTCAGGGTGGCCCCACGCGAGGAGACATTTTCTCTCATGCACTGCCCAACCCCACAAAATTCACAGGGAGACTGGAGGCTATTTGAAAATAAGGGCCATTGTTACTGGTTTCTTTGTGTCCTCCCAAACTTCGTGTCCACCTTATGTAGTGGCCTGGAGGGTGGACCTCTGTGGGTGAGATACCAGCTGAAGATGCTTGGATCACTGAGGAGGGCTGGCTCTCCCCAGGGCTAACAGCCCACTTCCTGTGTCCCAATGTTTCTCCATCATACGCATCTACCTCCTTCCATGTCATGAGTCAGAGGAACAGTGCTCCCAGTGCCTCCTGTAGCACCTTGCTGGGTCTGCTCTCTTCCCTTCTACTAGGCTCAGGTCCTTCCACTGCACCCCACGTCCCCACTTCCCCCACCCAGATGCCTTTATTGAGAACAAGCAGTCAGGAAAGCTGGCCCCTTCCCTTCTCGGCACCCCCAAGGGTCCCTTGCTTTAATGCATCGGATGGGTGTCACCTGTTCTTGCATCCTGGCCATCGGTTGCCTCTCTTGGTGGGAACACCCCCCCAAAACCATGCCCCCCACATCAAGCGAGGCTCCAGCCACCGCCTCCCAGAAGCCTTTGCTAATCCCTCTGGTCATAGGCCCTTTGGTACAGCTCTGGTCCTGGGGCTCCATCTGCCTTCCTGCAGGGGCCATCATCTTCTGAACTAAGGACATAAGACCCCACGGGGTCCTGCCAGGTCCTTGTCCATCTCACAGGACCCAAAGATGATTTGTGCCTAACCCAAGGGACCCTTCAGAGACATGTCTGAAGAAAAGTTGAGAACATCCTCCCTATTCCTAAGCAAGACGTGTATTCTCTCTCTCAGAAAAAGGCCCACCCAGTGGGCTGCTCCCCCACGGAGGCAGAAGCTCTTCTGTGTGGTGCGCTTGGGGCCTTGCAACTGAGCCAAATGAATGGAGCTCACAGACTGCCACGCAGACATTTAGTACCTGCTTTGGCCGAGCACAGCGGCCAGGTCTGATCCCTGGTGTGGTGCGCTGTGCTGGCCCCGCCCCTGGGGCACAGAGACAGCAGTGGAGACTGGGCATGGTGGGGCTTGCCTACAATCCCAGCACTTTGGAGGCTGAAAACAGGAGGATCACTACAAGTCTCATCTGTGTAGTGAGACCCTGTACTCAATACATAAAGACAAAAAAGGAGGGGGTTCTTCTGCAAGCCTCAGGGGCTCCCCACAGAGGGCTGGAGTTCACAGGTTCTCTCTTCTACAGCCAGCCAGGGAATACCTGACACAGGCTTGGGTGGAGCCATCTCATCTCTCCCTGTCTGGCCTGGAAACTCCCTTTGTGGAAGGGAGTCCTCGGGTTGAGGAGGCTCCTGGAAGTGATGCCCTGTGCAGGGCGAGTCATTCTGACTTAGACAGCCTCGTGGACATGTCCTTCTCAGAGGAAGCAGATAAACCAAATGGGGAAAACTGTGACAGAAAAATGACAGACAGCCATTGGCATTGACATTCTTATTGTAGTTTCAGGTTTTTCATTGTTTTGCTTTAATTTTTTTCCTAGAAAAGAAAAACACAACCAGGGGGATTTATGTGACAAACTATCAGTGTTGGGATGGCAGAGGGAGAGAGAAAGGCGGGCGGCGTGGGAACCTAGTAAAAAGAGGGTTCCGAATCACGTGGCACGGTCCGCAGGGGAGTGTGCAGGTCCTTGTGAGTGACCATTCCCTTTGGCATGCGTGTTGAGTGCCCGCTCAGACATCCAGGGTGCCAATGACAGACTCAAGACTTTACAGAATGATGTAATTCGGCTCCTTGGCTTTGTGCTCAGGTACCATCTGGCAGCCACTCTGCCTAAGAGAAGGGTGTGGAAGAGTGGGGGTCGCGTTGGGACACACTTTGGCATCAAGTAGTGAACTCCAGCAGCCCTCGCTCGCATGCAGACGTGGTCTCCACACAGGCATCTGTGCAGACACCTCTGGTCCACCCAGCCTGAGGCAGATGGCGACACCAGTCTCTTTCTGGCCATGGCGCAGTGGTGACATCCATTCTCTGTGCCTGCCGAAACTGCCTGTCCTCTTGTAGGTGGGAGGAGAGTGGAAGAGACCTCCTGTTAGCTCAATGCTGACGCAAATCCAGAGAAGCCAGGAACTGGACAAGGACAACTTGGCCATCTGGATCCACACTGAAGGTCTCTTGAGTTTTGCTTACTTTATGCCCCAGGCCTTGGGGTAGAACCGGAGCAACAGCCAGGTAACAAGGAGCCAGACGTACACTGCCAGGCCAGAGGACACTGGGGGTAGGGGAGGCATGCAGCAGGCTGTAGCCCCAAGGTGCAGTCTAGGGACAGCTGGCCTGCTAGTCTGACCCCGACACACAGGGGCTCTGCCGGCTGGAATTCCTATGTGGGCGGGGAGGGTCCTGCCCTGCTGTGGCCCCCATTCCTGAGCTGAGGCCAGGCTACGTCTCAGAGCCGCAGTCCTGAGGAGCACCACGCTGGCCGGCCAGCCAGGCCACAGTCCTCAGCCCCTGGGACCACACGGCTCTGGTTCCACAGGGAGGCCCCAGGGAGCTAGAAGGGCCGGGTGGGAAGGAGCTGGGGAAAGTGGCTGTGTTCTTCATGGGGAGACCCGGGAGAGGGGACCACGGGCTCGGAAGGAACTGCGGTCCCAATATTGCAGAGCCCAAGGGATGGGACACATTGTGGAGAAACAACAGCCGATTTTAAAAAGAGAATGTCTGCTGTTGCTTGGTTTCATTTTTCCTTTTAAAACCACTCACATTTTAAAAGGCTAAGGGACTGGGAGACTCAGCCCCTTCACGCTGATCCGACGTAGGCACCAGGAGGCCTAAGTCTCCCACCCAGCTCCCTCTCCTTGCCTGGCACCAGCCACCTGAAGCCAGGGCAGGGGCTCGTGAGCAAGTGCTCTGTTCCCCATCAAACCAGAACACTGGGGGGAGAAGGCCGAAGACTAAAGTGCAGAGAATCCCCGGAGCAGGCAGCCTGGGACCGGGGCGCTTAGGAGGGAAGGAGGGGGCAGGCACAGGGCCACAGCTGTGGGACACACACCGACCTGGTGACACTTCTCTCTGGGACTGTCCACTCTCAGCAGCTTCCCAAGCAAAGTCCTGGTCCCAAAAATATGGCCCTTCCCTGGCTGGTAGTGACTCATGAGCAGGAAGGGAGCAGAGGCGGCGGGCAGAAGAGTGCTTTATGTAAAATCGCTGAATCCCAGCTTCTGGGAGCAGGGATGCAGGGCCAACCCTAAGGCAGAGTCTCTCCCGGGGAGGGTTTGATGAAGATGGTCGGGTCCTACCAGTGTGGACTGCGGGAAGCCGCTCCGCGGGGTGGGAGGGGCTGCTGACGGAAGCCCGGCTTCCACTAGGGCGTATAGGCAGGGGGTGGCTGGAACTGGTTGATGACCTCGTACTCAGCTGGGTAGGGCTCATTCTCCTCCATCTCAGACAGCAGCTCCAGTGCCTGCTCTTCCTCCTCTGTGGGGTAGTGGCGCAGGAGGTTGGCCGCGGTGGCCAGGATGGAGGCTCCGCCAGCGCCTGCTACCAGATAGAAGCTGACGGCAAAGGTGACATAGACCTGGGAGCCATGGTACTTCTTGTGCTGCTGCTGCAGGGCCAGGATGAGTTCGGAAGCCCAGTAAGAGAAGCCGATGACAGTGGCACACTGCAGTACTAGGGGACAGAGGGACAACACACGGGGATTAGCAGGCACCCTGCAGCCAGGATCCTTGAGGAACCAATCAGGCTCTCACCCAGTTCTCAGACAACCTGCCCAGCCCCAAGCCCCAGAAGGAGACCCTTGCTTGGCCAGGGGACTCACGCTGAGGTGGGACAGCGGCCTAACCTTGGATATGCAGTGGGAGCAAGCCACGGTGGCGCATGCCTGTCATCCCAGTGTCCTGAGGGGCTGAGCTGGCAGACGGCAAGTTCAAGCCTAGCCCAGGGAACTTAGCAACTTAGTAGAAACTGTCTACTAAAATATAAAATAAAAAAGCACTGGGGATGTAGCTTGGTGCAAAGGCTCTGGGTTCAATCCTCAGTATCTTAACAAACCAAACTGTAATTGGTATGTGAAGGGCACCAGATGACGATGGGTAGTTAAGGGATCCATAAGGTTGTGCAGCTTAGGAGCTGGAGGCGACCAACATCACAAGGCAAAGTGACATAACCACCTGGTCATAGGAAAGGAAGCAGCCACCTACAAGCATAGAGCCTGGTGTGCAGGAGCCGAGGGCAGGGGACAGGGAGCCCAACCATACCCTCTAAGAACACAGCCTGCTTCCTTGCTCAGTCCAAACCCTGAGCTCCAGTGGGCTTCAAAGGCCACCTGGAGAGAGCTGTGAAATTCCAGGCTGAACTGAACAACATTCCCTCTCTCTCTGCAGCTGGGCTCAGCAGGACACTGAGGCAAACTGCAAATGTGACAATAAGCTGTGAAGGGCTGGACATGTCCCTCAAGCACCTGGCACGCGTGTGCTCACAGATGAGGCTCACGTTCCCAGGCCGCCCAGCACAGCCCACCCCAAAGCAGTTCCTTCCCCACACAGCAGCCAGGGCTTACCCGTGAGAATATGGGCGAAGGCATAGCGGCGCGTGATCTTCAGGGCTGGGTGCTTGGGCCCAAAGACGTCCAGGAGGAATGCCGAGAGACTACACAGGATGCCCAGGAAGCAGAAGGCAGCAATGACCCGCAGGAGCAGCACTGTCTGGGGGTTCATGCAGAAATCTGGGGGGACAAGGGACAACCAAAGCTCAGGGCTGCAGGTCACAGCCTAATGTGGGCCCTGCCTGGAGCTCCAGCTCTTCTGCTGCCGTCTTGGGCAGCCTGGGAGGCCCAGCTGGTCTGTAGAGGGTGGGCATGACCTCGACCTCCACACTAGCAGACAGGAACCCGGTGTCACTGTTACCACATACTTCCTGTCATCCTCTTTAAAAGAGATGAATCTGCACAGGATCCCACCCCAATGCTTGCCAAGTTCACCCAGCTGTTCTCCAAAAATGCTGACAGTCAATCTGCACATTAACCGATTCTGCCAGAGGACACTCCCAAGCACCAGGGAAACCCCGCTGACTTCTGAGCAGAGACTCCCAGACCAGCAAAGGCCAGAGGCCATTCATGCCCCGCCTCCATCTCCTCTACTCAGCCCTCCCCTTTCTATGCCTCAGAGAAGTGAAGACAGTACACTGCATAAGAAAGGCCAAACACAGGAGGACAAATACCGCAGGCTCCACTCAGATGAGAGGCCGTGACGCGTCCAAGAGAGACACAGATATTTAAATGGCAACGGAATACCCATCTCTAACAAAACTAAACAAAAAAAGGGGATACAAAGGAAGGACCATTTTGTATCTGTATATACAAAATAGTTAGGATAGATATACAGCTACTTTCTCTTAATTCAATGAGAAGAAAGATTTGTACTAATAGTATTTGGACAGGATATCATGTCTGCATCTTATACTATGAATAACCACCAAGAAGATAACAATATGCAATGTATTCCTTATTGAAATTGTCCTATTAATTGGTTTTGAAACTGTCTCATTGCTGTTTCTCAATAAAATTAATAAATTTTAAAAAAAGAGACACAGAGCGATGGTTTACCACGGCATTATTACTGTGTGTGCAGAGTTTCAGGTTGCGATGATGGAAAAATTCTGGAAACAGATACTGGTGATGACTGTACAACGATGTAGAAATATTTAATGATGCCAAGCTGGACAGTGCCATTGGTCATAGGGTGCTTTTTCTTTTTTTGACACAGAGTTTTGCTATATGGTTCAAGTTGGTTTTGAACTATTAGCCCAGGCTGGCCTCAAACATGGGACAATCATCCAGCCTTAGCCTCCTAAGTCCTGGGATGACAGGCATTTGCCACCATATGTGACTTATCATGGTAAATTTTATGTCAGTATGTGTTACTACAGAAAAAATAACATTGAGAGAAGAGGGAAAAAATCGAAGCAGTTTAGGCAAATGTGCAACTACAACAAGGCATTTAATGAACTAAGATGCTGGGGCAGGGCTCTGGGATAGAGCATTTGCTTAGCACGTATCTAAATTGAAAAAAGAAAGAATTTAATGGAGCACCTGCTTAGGCAGAGCAGAGGGACAGGAGTTTGCTCCCCGACACCACATGCCACGCCGGCACCACCCCTGGGGCGCACTGAGATGGTGACTGAGACCGGGTGTGGTAGTGCACGCCTATAATCCCAGCGCTTGGGTGGCTGAAAACAGGAGGATCGCTACGAGTCTGTGTAGTGAGACCCTGCAGATCACGTACTGAATACATTAAAAAAAAAAAAAAAAAAAGGAATTTAATGGGGTTAGGGATGTAGCTCCGTGAGAAGGCAAAGGGTCCCTGGGTTAATTCCTAGTACCACCAAAATAAAACAAAACACAAATTCTCCAGGTAGCTGCGGGCTGGGCCCAAAGGCTCCTGTGTCTCCATTTGGCTTCAGGTGACCCAGGAGGCCACCCTCAGAGCTATCTGTTATGATCTCGTCTGCCGGCCATCTGCTCAGGGCCTGAGCATGTATTGTGCGCCAGTCCTGTCAGCAGCCGGCACCAGGGAAGAAGGGATCAAAGCCCATGGCTCTCACCCAGTAAAAACTCCAGAAGCCGAGGGTGTTGATACTCAGACACTGTTATTAGCTGGCACTTGCATGGCATGTGGCAGAGATGGGCAGGATGTATGCGATCTTTTAGTCTTTTCTTGGAATAACTGCTGGAGGCAAGACTGACTGACTGACTGTCTGTCTGTCTATCTCTCTCTCTCTTATGGACAGGGGCTCCCTATGCAGTTCAGACTGTCCTTGAACTCACCATGTAGCTCAGACTGTTCTTCAACTTACACTGATCCTCCTGCCTCAGCCTCCCAATACCTAGCCATTTTCTTATCCCTAAAAATGTGCACCAATTATATACATCACTATGTCCTTAAATTTCACAATACATTTATTTTAACATTAAAAAAGCTGGGGCTGGAGAAATAGCATAGTGGCATAAGCATCTGCCCAGCAAGGTCCCAAGTTCGATCCCTGGTAGGTGCACTGTGCTGGCCTGTAATCCCAGCACTAGAGAGGCTGAGAAAGGAGGATCACTGAGTCTAAACAGTGAGACCCTGTATCAAATAAATTTTTTAAAAAGGATGTGCACCTGCTGGCAGGCCTCACAGAGGACTCCCAGCAGGCACACATCTTTGGCAGAGCCTCACACACCCCTGCAGGAACAGCTGCTGCAGAGATGGTCAAGTGCTGATCCTTGCTGCCAAACAGCTCGTCACACAGCTCAGATGTGGATTCAGAGGCTCTAGGAAGTTAAGTGACTTCCTGCAAGTCACACAGTGACTGCAAACCCTGCCCTGTGCTGCTTGGAATCAGCAGGCACCAGCCAGCAGCCTTCTCTCCTGGTGGAGATAATCAATCACGTCCTAAGGAGGTGCACGTGCTTGCAGGGTCAGATGCTAATGGGAATGCTGGCAGCGTGTCCGTCGCAGAGCCTGCAGCTGCTGAGCTTGCTAGCAGACCAGCTGGAAGCATGAAATCTCCAAAACAAAAACAGAAAAAGCAAAAAGCGGTTTGGGTCATTCAGCCAGTGGAAGTGCTCATATGGGGCCTTCCTGGGTAAAGCCTGCTTGCTGTGGTGCTGTGGCCTCAGAGTCCAGCTTGAGAAGTGGCCAGGACATTGCAGAGGCTCTGGACCTGGCGCCAACTCCTATGGCTAGACAGGCTCCAGGTTACCCTGTGTGGGCACCTGCCCCACCCTCAGCCTGCACCTCAGGGATCAATGAAAGCAGTGGCTCCTGCCTCAGTTGCCACGGGTGCAGGGGGAGGACCCGCTGACGCTGACACTGCCGAGAAAGGAGGCTCCCTGGACGTCACTGCCCTGCTGGCAGGCAGCTGGGCCAGAGTCACCACTGGTACATCTTCCTTTCGGCTTTATTGAGACAGGATCTTCCTAGATAGCCCAGATTGGCTTTGAACTCACAGCAAACCTCCAGCCCCAGCTTCCCAAGTGCTAGGATGACAGCGTGTACCTCCATGCCTCGCGGCACCTTTCCTTCTTACACTGAGACTTCCTAGCAGTGTTGGGCAGAAGAGGCACCTGTCAAGGCCAGACTGAGGGTCTACCCCACCAGGGTGACAATGTGGTACCCAGAAGGGGCTTTTGACCCAACATGAAAACAGGTTTTGTTTTCCGGAGTGGGGTGGTGCACGCCTGTAATCCCAGCACTTGGGAGAGTAAGGCAGGAAGACTGCCATGAATTTGAGGCCAGCCTGAGATCTACTGTGAGTTGAAGACCACACTGAACTACATAGTGAGATTTTGTTTCAAAAAAGAAAAAAAAAAAAAAAAAAGAACAAACAACAACAATAACAAAATCCAGATTTCGTTTCAACTCTTTTCACAGAAGCTGCAAGTGACCCTCAGGTTTAGTGGAGAAGCCCGAAATGGGCTGTCCTATTGGGTGACACGTCTGGATATCCCAGGTGCTCACTCTGTGTTACCGGCAGACCGTCACCAGGGGATCTCAGAGAATACAAGGACAGGCTGTCACCCCAGACATGCTGGGCACCCAGCTCAGGACCTCTCCTGTCCTGGGGCTACCGCCTCTGCATCTTCCTCTCTTCCCCTGTGAGGCATCGGTCTGATAGGGAGGGCTCCCTAGAGGACTGCTGGAGGGAGACACAAGGCCCGAGGGGCACACAGCTATGGCTTTGTGGGAGAAAGGGCACACAGGACAAGGTCCCAGTTTTAAATCCAAAACAGTGCTGTGGTCCACAACACTCAGGCAAGACACAGCACGGCACACCCTGCAGTTGGGCCCTGCCTGCTTCCTTGGGTAAACACTGACCGTCCCCACAATCATCAGGAAAGAAGGCAGCTGCTGTGTAATAGGATCCAAGGAGGTGACTTTGCCCAAGGTCGCCTGAGTCACCAGCTGGATTTGTTTTGCAGGCCTGGGCTCTTCCTGTCCACCTGCCCCTCTTCCACTAATCCCCACCTGACCTGCGTGGGCTGTAGGCCCCTCCCCATCACTCATCCCCCAAGCATTGTCCCAGTCCCTCTCTGTGTGTTGTCCCACCTGCTCAGCCACTCCACACTGTGATATTTTTGGCTTCCCAACAACACTGACAAAGGCCACCAATAGGGCCCCTATGTGCCCAGCTGTGTCACCCTGCAGACACCAATGGTGCCTGCCAACTTGCTTGAGGACAGGCCCCACAGACCTGCACCAGCCACCACCCTTGGGCCTTTCCTGGTGGGCCCTCAGGCTCTGGGCTTCCATCAATCAGAATTCACTGGACTTCAAATCCCAACCTCCTCTTCCTGCTAAGAGGCTTCCTGAGACGCTGGCAGAGCTGCCCTTTGCTGGCCATGCTGAGAAGCAGAAAGGATTTGGGGCTCCTCTCCCCAGGGCTACTGAAGAAGGTCTGGACCTAAGCCCAGGTTAAAGAGCGGTTTGGCAAGCAGGTAGTCTCTGGAAGTGGAAGAATTCAGGGCAGAACCTTCTGAGCTGGGCTGCAATTGCTAAAAGCTGCAAGGCTCTGTGGATGGTGCTGGGAGGATGCGAGGCTTTGCTGGCCTCAGGACCACCCCCCAAGGCACCGTGGGACAAAAACTCAGCTAGAACTAGGAGGCTGAGGTAGGAGGATCTCAAGTTCAAGCCCAACACAGTAGGAATACAGCAAGCTTAGCGAGACTTTGTCCCCCTCAATTTTTTTTTTAACAGGACTGGGGTTAAAGAGCTGGGCACAGTGGCACACACTTGTAATCCCAGCACTCTGAGGCTGAGGCAAGAGGATTGCCATGAGTTGGAGGCCAGTTTGGGCTACACAGTGAGACCCTGTCTCAAAAAATTACAAAAATAAAAATAAATAAAAGGACTGGAAATGTGAGAAGGTCCTGAGGTCAACCCCAGTATCCTAGTATGGCACAAAAAAAGAAAAAAGATGGGTCACTCCAAACAAATGAAAAGGAAACACGGAGGGCACTAAGGTGTGGTAACGAGAACGTGGACTTCAGAATCAAAGCCACCCAAGCTGGCTGTGTGTCCCTAAGATCACCCACCCTCTCTGAGCTGAGACCTCCATGACACACTGACAGCAGCACCTGCCAAACCCAGGTACTGATCAGGAGAAACAACAAGCTCACATGCAGTGCGCCTGGAGTGGTGCTGAGCGATGGTGCTTGTCACCTGCAGAGACCCAACAGGCTCTGTTCTCCCTCAAGAGGATCTATGAGCACCACACCTGTGCTTGCAGCTCTGCTCCTTCTGGAGATGGGGGCTACGCCAGGCTTCCAAGTCACAATTGCTGGACCCAGAGGTCACACAATCACAAAGGATACCAAGGTATGAAGGCTCAGTAGGATCAAGAGACCAGGTAGGTATACAGAGAGAAGGGAGAAGAAAAGCAACAGGAACCTCCTGATTCCTCAGTTAGCGTGATGGCTCCCGAGGGACCAAGGCCAGCTCTTCTAGTAACAGACACCAAAAGTTCCCAGCTTGGTGTTTTTTTTTTTTTTTTTTGCGAAACCGGGGATTGAACTCAGGCCCTTGTACTTATTCTACTGAGCCATCTCCCTGGCCCTGTTCCCAGCTTGTGATGGCCCAGGAGATAGCCAGGCACACGGACAGAAGCTATACCGGGTTAGAGTACCAAGCAGTAGCCAGGTGTGGTGGCACACGCCTGTAATCCCAGCACCCTGGGAGGCCTAGGCAGGAGAATCACAAATTCAAGCCCAGCCTGGGCAATTTAAATTTAGAGACCCTGTCTCAAAATGAAAATATAAAGAAGGGCTATTGATACAGCTCAGTGCAAAGGCCCTGGGTTCAATCCCCACTACCCCACCACCACCAACACCCTCTAAACATGTAGAGAACAGACTGAAAAGGCTGAAGTGACATGTTTTACAGAAGACATCCAGTCCGAGTCCTTTCTCAGAAAGGGCAAACGCATGTGTGAACAAAGAAGATGGTGTACCATTATTTTTATTTTAACTGCCTTTAACAAGGATGCACACTAAATTACAATCTCATAAGATTACTCTTTATGACTACTGAAGCGAAACAAAGGATAGACACCGTAAGTGAGAAAGAACCATTTGATCTCTATATCAATAAATGGGCGTCAGTCACAGCTACGCCCCCCTGTGCTGGGTAGCCTTACGGAGAGCACTTCACTCTTCAGGGCCATGGTTTCCTGGGCCTCTGCAATTCGGATGTGGGGTCAGATCAGCTCCTCTCCATCATGAGACTTTCATGAACCCTCTACCCCAGGGGTGAGCGGAAGTTCGCTCCCATTTCGCACGTGACACTGAACTCCTGAAACATCCTAACTCTGTGGGATCGAGCAACAGGCCTGCTTGAAGGGTGGGAAGCTCGCAGCTGTGCTTCCAAGAGGCACGGAGAAGGGAACATGCTGAGGGGAAAACCGTCCACACCCACTCCACCCTGGAGGCATCTGTGCTATCAGCCGTGGGCCAAGGGAAAGGCTTCCTACCGAAAGGCCAACAGGTGGACAACTTCAGTTTTAAAGCGCCTATTGGGCCAAGGGCACCATGAATATGAATTTGGAAACAAACCAGAAGCCCCCACCCTGTTCTGTACATCCTAAGGCCTCTAAAATCCAGCAGAGAAGCACAACATGAAGAGAAGGCTTAAGGATAACATGAGGCCACAAGCTGAGGTTTCTCAGCCCAGAGCTGCAGCAGTGGTACATGGAGTCAAGAAGTAGCTGGCCCTTTCTCACTAAATCCTGGGGCCTGAATCCTGCAAGAAGCAACAAGCAGATTCCTAACAGGAAGTGCTCAGATGAGGGCAGCAGACCCCTGAGGCAACAGGAAGAACTTCAAGAATGGTTCAAAAGATCTTGGGTGACAAACTGTGCCCTTACTAGGGACTGTTTGTGCTCCACTGACCATTTTTGGGTTCAAAACCAGACAGTGAAGTCCTGCCCTCCCCAGAACCTGTATCCTCACTCCTGGAGACAGGAAGTGGCCACGGAGCTAGGGTGCTCCCTGGGACAGGCCCTGGGCTCTTGCTGGCTATGCATGGACTTCTGATGACCTAAAAAGCCACACCCTTTTCCCTTAACAAAAGTCCGATTACCCTAGAACCCTAAAATATACTCTAAAATTTATGTACAATTTTTAGTTGTACTAAAATTTTTTCCTCCATCAGTCAGGCTACCCCAAAGCAGCTTGCTGTATCTCACAGGTTCCTTAGGAGGGGAAGGGAGATGGTGACACCTAGTACCCTTATTTTCTCTTTACACAACGCAGGCAGAATCCTAAAATAGCAGCAGACAAGATTAACATGGAAGGTGCTTTGCTGAAGAACATCAGAATTAATGAAGGGCTAGACCCTAAACAGAGCCACCTGGTGGGCACGAGCATCACGCAGGAGGGGGTGTTTGCTTCAAACAAGGACGGGTCTTGGTAGGTGTAGCTTTAGCCAGTTCCCCACGCCCCACCGGCCCCGAGGCCCGGAGCGCAGGAGCGCAGCGCCCTCACCTTTCAGCAGGTCCGGATGCACGTAGCCCAGCACGTCTGAGACCCCCAGCTCCTGGCGGGAACAGGTGCCTCCGTGGATGTGCAGCCAGGCGGGCTCGGCGAGGGCAGTGCACAGCGCCGTGATGGACAGGGCTCCGGGCAGCGCCGAGGCCAGGCTACGCTCGGGCTGCTTGGGCAGAGCGCTGCCTCCTGGGCTCCTCCGCCGGCGCCCGCCGGGCAGCCCTGCGCCTCCAGGGGCGTACATGTCCGGGGGCCGCCCGCCGTCGCTGTGCGGTCGCTGCGGGTCGCCTGCCTGTCCCGGGAAGGAGAGCAATACCCTGGGTGCCGGAGCGGGGTTGTCAGGGCCGACAGTGGAGGATGACGGGTGGGATCCAGGGCTGAGCAGAGACCAGAGGACGGCGGGAACTAGGGGGGCGGGGACCGGGCATCAGGATTTAGGGTGCGGGGCAAGGACCAAGAGTGAGAGGCCAATGGGGTCTGTGTGGATCAGGATGGGAAGTCGCGCGGATACTGAGGATCAGCTACTGGGGGAGGGGAGAACCTGAACCCAGGATCTTGGCCAGAGGGTGACGAAGGGTGGAGAACCCGGCTGGGCCGCAGGATCTGGGATCAAAGATCTAGGACCCGCACTTTCGGGTGCGACCTGCGGCATAAAAAGACCCTCCTCACTCTGCCCCTGCTCCTCACCGGTCAGCAGGCCTCAGGGCTGGGATGGCGCCGCTCCACCCTGTCACGGGCTTCTCGGCTGCCTGGGGCCGAGCGATCCCAGGCCCCAATCCCGCAACGCCCAGACCGACCCAGGCCGATGCACTTCCGGCTTCATCCTCCTAAGCCTCCGCCTCCTCCGCTCCCCGCCCCATGCCCCGCCCGGGCCGCTGCTTGCGCGCGCATACGGCTCTCTGCGCAGGGACTTGTGGGAATAATAGTTTGAGTCGGGCCGGGGACGCTTCCTGGTTTGGGGTAAGCGGAGAAACTACAACTCCCAGAAGCCCATGCGGCGCAACAGGCGCCCCACCCCCCACCCCACCCCAATTCCCAGGACAACCCGGGCTCTGGGCGGAAGCTCGAGGCTTTGCCGCGGGAATCTAGAGGTGGTATTTGGGGTACTTGCGGTGGGACCCGCAGTTGGCGCGTTGACTCTGCCCATCTGCTCACCCTTCGCCGGCCGCCATGAAGGACTCGCTGGTGCTGCTGAGTCGTGTTCCGGCGCACCCAGACTCCCGCTGCTGGTTCCTGGCCTGGAACCCCGCCGGGACTCTGCTGGCCTCGTGCGGTGGTGACCGTCGAATCCGCATCTGGGGTACCGAGGGTAAGGCCTGACCTAGCTGCACAAGCTGGCGTCGAGGCTTCGGCCGATGCACAGTGTGAGAGCTGAGGGAAGGATTTATCAGGCGCAGGGGTTGGCCAGTTCTACAAACAAAATGGCAAGCCAGTCCCGCCTGCTTCGGGAGTTTGGACAGTGGGTGATGCAGAAAAGTGTGTGTGGGAAGCTGGTAGGAGAGTAGCCCCAGTGTCTTGTGGCACTTCTAAATGCAGAAGGTGCCACCTCCGATTTGGCTTAGAAGGGTGTTTCCAGAGGAAGCAGGCAGTTCGTCTTCATAAAAGCATGTTATTAAATACACGGATCGAGCTTTGGCCTCCGGAGGTCCTTCCTGTGTACCCAGCCCCAGAACCCAGCCTGTCCTCTGCCTGTAGGTGACAGCTGGGTCTGCAAGTCTGTCCTTTCCGAAGGCCATCAGCGCACCGTCCGAAAGGTAGCCTGGTCTCCCTGTGGGAATTACCTAGCTTCTGCCAGCTTTGATGCAACCACTTGCATTTGGAAGAAGAATCAGGAGGACTTCGAGGTAATCAGGCTGAGTGACACCAGAACTTTTGCCTTTTTGCTCCCATGTGCTGTCCCTTACCATTTTAGGGCTGGTTTAGGAATATGAGCCAACCAGGGCCACTTGGGCGGGACCTGGCCTACAGCCTTCACTTAATGTTACCTACTATCCAGATCATGACCTTGGATTTTGACCAAATCCTAGGGTGACAGCTGCCATTAATTCTTCTCCCTGTTCCCTTTTCAGTGTGTGACCACTCTTGAGGGTCATGAAAATGAGGTCAAGTCTGTGGCGTGGGCCCCTTCTGGCAACCTTTTGGCCACCTGCAGCCGAGATAAGAGCGTGTGGGTCTGGGAAGGTGAGTCCAGGTTCCTTCGGATACAGCAGAGAACCAGCTCATGGACCAGCGTCCTGTGTCTCTGATGGGGTTGGCTCTTTTTTTTTCCTCCCACAGTTGATGAAGAAGATGAGTATGAATGCGTCAGTGTTCTCAACTCTCATACGCAGGATGTCAAGCATGTGCTTTGGCACCCGAGCCAGGAGGTAAGAGTCAGACTAGGTCTCTTCATGGAAGGAAATTTGGTGTGGAAGTTTTAGGCCAGGCTTCCGCTGATGTTTCCACTGGTATTTCACCTCAACTTGGCATTATAGTGATCTCTGTGACTGAAAAACACGAGTTCCTCTACAAAAATGGATTTCTGGGACTGCGCTGTTCTGGTAGGGGGAGTGTTGGAAGCACAGATACTTCCCGGGCCTCAGATGAGGGCTGGGTCTCTTTCCCTTCCCCCAGCTGTTGGCCTCTGCCAGCTATGACGACACAGTGAAACTGTACCGGGAGGAAGAAGATGACTGGGTGTGCTTTGCAACCCTCGAGGGCCACGAATCCACTGTGTGGAGTCTGGCCTTTGACCCTAGTGGCCAGCGCCTGGCATCCTGCAGTGATGACCGTACTGTGCGCATCTGGCGCCAGTATCTACCAGGCAACGAACAAGGTGAGGGTCCACTTGTAGAGCTAGAAGACTCTTTAAGAGCTTTGTAGTCAAGTTGCTAAGATGCCTCTATGAATCACAGCAAATTGGGGTCAGAAGTAGCATGGACCATAGAGGTTCTAGTTAAGAGTGCTAGAAGAATAGAAAGTTCATGGAGCAGAGCCATTTTGTCCAAGGGGCATGCAGGATGTAACGAGGAAAAGAATTTCACCCGAGAAGGTCCAGGGAAAGCCTAGCAGTGGTTGCACAGGCATTAGTGGTGGGACACCTAGGCTTCTGTGAGGGATGGAGATCCATGTGGGTAGGACAGGACAGAAGGGACTTGAGAGGAGTCAAGTGGGTTGGGTTGGCTAATGGGTAGGCATGAGCAGCAGACTAACCAGTTAGATCCAACATGTACCAGAATAGGGAAGATTTAGGAAGATTGGGGCCACACTGAGGCAGATAGTGAGGATGGGGACAGTTAAGAGACCAGGACTCAGGGCTGATGGAAAGTGGGGCTGTGGTGTAGTTTTGCCCGAGATCCCATGGACATGGCTACATCCTGGGGCTAAGAGAAGTCTATTTTGCAGGGGTGGCATGCAGTGGCTCTGACCCCACCTGGAAATGCATCTGCACTTTGTCGGGCTTCCACTCCAGGACCATTTACGACATTGCTTGGTAAGACTTGCACAGACCCACTGCAGTCAGGGACTTTAGAGATGGCATGACCCTGTGCTGCCATCTGCCACCGAAGATCTGAAAGCAGCCACTATTTCTTCAGAGCAGGCCTGTTTGCCCTGCTGGCTTAATGCTGGCAGGCCTGGGGTTCATAGAAGCAGAGAGCAGGCCTAGCCAGGCCAACCCGGGTTAGGATCCCAGCCTGTGAGGGCAGCACCAGCAGCAGCAGCCCTTGGGGTTTACACAACACTGTAGCATCTTGAAGTTACCATGAAAGCTGTGGGTTCATGACTAGGATTACTTACTTATTCTGGCAGGAGGAATCAAACCCAGGGCTTGTGCATGCTAGCAGGTGGTCTATCACTGAGTACATGCCCAGGCTCTTGATTGGGTCTATAGAGTTTCTAGCCATTTCTACAGGAGAGAAGGTCACAGGGCAATTGTGACTTTGAGAACTGGACCTAGAAAATAATCCTAAACCATGAACGAGGTTGATGTGTACGTAAGCTTTGTTTATATTATCAAACGTTTGGGAAAAACCTATGTGTTCAACAGAAATGGACTTAAGTACATTATGCTAAAATTCAATAGCTGGCCTGTTATTTTGTTGGTTTTGAAGTTAGAACTTCATGAGCTATGCTAGGATATAGCTCCTCAGTGGTAGACCACTTGCCTAGCATGCTTGAGGTCCTGACCTGAGTTTGTCCTTTTTTTTTTTTTTTGGTGGAACCAGGGATTGAACTCAGGCCCTTGTGCTTGCCAGGCAAACACTTATTCTACTGAGCCTTCTCCCTGGCCCCTTGAATTTGTTCTTTAGCACTAAAAAACAAAGAAAACCAACCTTCACAACAGTGGTGAACCGTTTATGCCGTGTGAGAAGTATGCCATCAGGCTGTAGGTAGGATAATTCTGTATTTCAGGGTAATTATATGGGAGAGCTGAGGTAGAGGGGAAGTGCCTGAAGGCAGAGGTGGTAAGGTTCGCAGCCCTTTCTGTCAGGAACCGAGGAAAAGCCTCCCTAACACGGTGCCAGGGTGAGAAAGCAGGACCACCCAGATACCTGCTGTGTGTTCCTCCAGGTGTCAGCTGACAGGGGCCCTGGCTACCGCTTGTGGGGACGATGCCATCCGCGTGTTTGAGGAGGATCCTGACTCAGATCCACAGCAGCCCACTTTTTCCCTGACTGCCCACTTGCGCCAGGCCCATTCCCAGGATGTCAACTGTGTCGCCTGGAACCCCAAGGAGCCAGGGCTCCTGGCGTCCTGCAGTGATGATGGGGACGTGGCCTTCTGGAAGTACCATCGGCCAGAAGCACCCTGAGCCACCCAGATGGGAGCATCCTGGGATCCCAGAAATGCCCTAAGACTTTTGTGGCCTGAGAAGACCTGGAGAAGCATCCTTGATTTTCATTCAGCGTGGTTACTTCATTCAGACCTGGCCACACAGACGCAGAGCTGCAGGGCCGCTTGCCTTTCCCTCAGACGGGAGGGCCTCAGTAGACCTCAGACCTTCAGTGCAGTTCTGCCACAGATTTGGCTTGCTCTAGGATGTGCTATTATACTTCGGGCAAGTGAATATAGTATTTAACTGCTGTATGTACATAGGACAACGTCCGTCTTTTCTGAAATTGTAAACGCTATGGAAATAATCCCTGAATCCAAAGTCCTGTCAATAGAGACACTGTTGTTTTGGAATTCCATCATGAATTGTCTGAAGGAGGTCTGTGCTTCCCAATTTCTGGATAAATCCCTGCGCTTAAGACATGTAATATTGAAGGAACTTTTTTTTTTTTTTTTTTTTTTTAGTGCAAGTTTGTGTAAAATAAGAACACCACTGCTTTCCGTTAGAGGCCCTAGAATACTGCCTGCACTATTATAATATGGGGACAGCTTGTCAGGGGTATGAGAAAATGAATCCAGAATGATATGAACCCTAAAAGGGACTTTCTACTGGCAATAGGCTCAGCAAGGATGGAGACTGGTTCTACCATGGGGACTAAAACATGAGACAGGAACTCATGGCCCCCTGAAGAGCCAGTCCAGCACACATCTTGCAAGTGCAGAGGAAGCAGAAAAAGGATGCTTCCTCAGGCCCTGTGGTACGCTGTCTGTAAGCAGCTCGTCATCCCACTTGGCTCCTGACATCAGGTTGGGCATGAGGATATCCAAGGGGACAGCTAGCACTTCATTTTCTGCCCTATAGGAACGTGTCCTTAGATTGGAGACAGCTGGCCCAGCCTCTAGAGCAGTGGTTCTCAGAATCGGAGACCCTGCATCCCGAGGTCCAGCGGGGGCAGCAACACTGCCTCACACCTACAGTAGGAAAGCTGCTGGCTTCCCTAGCCATGTTTCTGATTGGCAGCAACAGTGACTAAAATGTGTATTAAATGTTGAGCCTGAGAACAATTTCCAGTATGCTGAGAAAGTAAGGAACAGGGCGCTTCTGCCCTGATGAATGAAAAGTGGGTGGATAGCTGAGTTAGCGGTGTTCTCCCACCATGCACTTTTTATTTGAAAAAACAAATGGTATTCAGACTTGGCTGTGACTGACATTTTCTGAAAAATGAACAGAATGAACCTTTTACTGGTAAGCGCTCACTGCCAACAATATACATAAATGTGATTCCTATAATGAAATGCATTAACATTTGGAAATTATATAATTCAGTCAATCAACATTTTCCAGATGAGCAATGTTACAAAATCACTCAGGCAAGAGATTGAAAGTCTGAGGCCAGTGTGGGTTGAGTATGCAAGGTGCGCGGGTCAAGTTTGAGATGCCACCAATACCTTTAGTCTTGGCATAGTATCCAAAAACTGCCACAATTACTACCAGAAAAGGCCACTTAAGAACTCCCTTTTCCTGTCCTATCTGTGAAACCAATTCAAGCCACATACAACAGACTGAATGGAGCAGCAGCTCTGAGAACTTGGCTGTCTTATGGTAAGCCAGACCTAAAAGGCTACTTACTCTTCTCCCTGGATTCTCTTGTTTTTGAAGTTATTTTTCATAAAAGATGTTAACATAATGTTTTAAACTGTTAACATAGTATCTATATAATGTAGACAATAAAAGTCCTTGGAATCTTAATTTTTTAATAGCCTACACGGGTCCTGAAACTGAATCATTTGAAGACTGCCAGCCTGAGGGAGCTGCCCTTCGAGTTTTGTGCACATGCACTCAGGAACAGCAGCTTGCCGTGGATCTGGAGTTTGGGATTACAAATCAGATTGCCAAGACTGGGTCTGATCCAGCTGGTGCACCTCACAGAGCACTTCATTTGGGGTCTACATGCTTCAGGGGAGGTTAATGAGGGAGGTGGGTCAAGTAGAAAGCCTCAACTGAGAGGTCCCTGCCAGTGTTCCCTCCACCGGACTGAGGCTCAACCAAAGGGCAGCTCTGTCCTCCAGGTGCTCAGTAAGCAAAGTTAGTAGGTAAAGAACACATCTTGTCAGCTAACACCTTAGGTTGGAGAAAGAAACATTTAATTTGGAATCACTGAAAGAACAAAGGTTTCCTCTAGTTGTCACTTACTGGAATGACTAACAAAAGGAACTATAAAGAGCTTGCCAGTTGTGACACAGTTTGCTGGATGCCTGTGCGTGCTGGACCCAGGCTTTGCAAAGGCCAAGTACAAAGGGGCACTAGCCCCAACTCGCCTGGTCCTGGGCAACAACATGGTCTCCGTAACCAGCGTCTCAGGTCTCCATTCAGGACCAGCTCTCCTCTGGCCAAGAGCCAGTGTCTGGGACTCAGTCTGAGTCACTGTCCGTCTCAGCTTCTTTCACATCCACACTGAATTTGTACTCCTGGTCACAGCCCATGTATGCATCACTCATGAAATACAGGGTGTAATTGTGGGCACCAGTGGCTGGGGCCACGAAGTCCAGCTTCACCTGGAGAGAGCAGGCAGGAGTCAGGGAACACACTACTACCCTGCCCACCCTGGGACAGCTACAGAGCCAGTGATACTCACTTTTGCCTTCTGCTGCAGGGTCAGCCGCTTGATGGAGATGAGACTGTTGGATTTGGCATCTCCAATTACCACCCACCAGCCCTCTTCACGTTTCTGCAGTGGCCAAAGACAAATATTTCAGCATATAAAGTCCAGTGGCACTGGCAACTATGAAAGTGGTTATAAAGTAGGACAACAAAGAACTGGGAGTTTCCCAAAGTTCCTCCCAAAAACAGAATTTGAGACAATATTCTGCAACTGTCAAAAGGTTTCAGTGGACCTTGTCCCAAGGTCCCTAGTCATAGAGTCCTTATCACCAGGAGGGCTAACCTTTGGTGCCTGGCAGCTTCTGAGTATAAGGTACATGGACCAGATGAGGAAATCTTAACATGGTCAGGAGCCTGCAGCTGAGCACCCAAGCGAACCATGGCGGCCTCTGAAACCCTGCCTGTTGAGACTCAGCCTCCTCTGCTGGCCACTCCGCTGTCACAATGCACATGTGTCCTGATCTAACACACTCTCCTCAGACCCGAGAGAACCACCAGCTCATAGCACTAATGGTGAAGTTGGGCTAGTTCTGCTGCCAACCTGAAATGATTCCCCATTTAAGCAGATCAGATTTTCTTTCTGGTGATAAAGAATCAGAACCAGAAGCTCAGGGAAGTACACCTGACCAAGGAGACTGAACAAACACCACCTGGAAAAGCCCAAGCCCCAGAGCCATTTCAAGACACACGTGATATAGCAGTCACCCAGAACAACAAATTAAAAATAAACAGAGGGCTGGTGAGATGGCTCAGTGGTCTAAAGCACCTACTTAGAGCAAGCTTAGCGGAGCACAGGGACCGCGGTTCAATCCCCCAGCACCACATGCCAGCCAGCCCCGCCCCCTGGTGGGCTGAGCTGGCCACACACACACACACACACACACACACACAAAATAAAATTAAAAAAAAAATAAAAATAAAAAAATAAGCAGAAAAAAACAAAAAAACAGTCCATGGCCCTAAGATTAATTCTTAGCCTTGTGAATTCGTTATCACTCAATTCCCTCTCACCACGTGAAATGTACGTGCCAGAAACTTAGCCAGAGGATAGGTCCCAAGGACCCAAGGGAGAGCCAGGCTCCAGGACATACCTGTGGGAAGAGAGGTGCAATGACAGGACCTGTGACCTCCTCCTCTCGCTCCAGCTGCACCAGCACCACAACTGGCCCACCGCTGTGGGGAACACAGGACAGCTTGTGAGGGACATGGCCGCTGGTGCTCCAAGCAGTCCCACACTGTTCCCGAGGGCCCCCGGCTCACCTGCGGATGCTGTCCTTCTCTACCACTTCATAGGACAGTTCGATGTTGGGGTAGCGGTTGCAAAAGCGGGCCACATCTGCAATCTGGCCATCCGTGAGTTGAAGCAGCGCATTTCGTTCCTCGTCCTCCATCTCCATGATGTCGAAGACACTCTCCACTCCCTGCAGGGGGCAGGCAAAGCTCAGAAGAGGACACTGGCAAGTGACCCAGCTCTGGAAAGGCTGCTAGCGTCTCTTCTGCCACTCTTAGGTCATCTTAGAAAAGGCAGCTCCGAGAAGTACACAGCCCACAGAACGCAGCCTGTTAGCAGCTTAGCGTGGAGCCCCCAGTTTCTGACCCCCTCCGTGTGGTCCAGGCTCCTGGGCCATCCTCACCCAGCACCCGAGCCTCACGCAGCTCACCTTGTCTGTGCAGCGCTTGATATGCTCTGAGGTGAAGTGTGGCAGCTGCTTCAGGTAGGAGTCCTTGGACCACATGGCCTGGGTGACCATCTGGGCCAACTCCATGGCTGCCAGGGCAGGGCTGAGCCAGCCGTTGCTAGAGAGCACGTCCACGCAAGCCTGAATGAGCCTGATTGCCTAGGTGGGGGGAGAGCAGGTGGGTTGCACAGAGCCCGCCTGGCTGCCCGTGACCCGCCATGTCCCTGCTCACCCTGCTCTACCTTGCTGAGGATTTCCTCCGTGTCTGACTGCAGCTCAGCACTTAGCTGCATGCGGGACAGGTGAGCCTGCAGCAGCAGGTTGGTCTTCACATGTGGATCATTGAACTTCGGGTTATTCAGCTTGTGGGGGACCTTCTGAGCCAACTGAATGGGAAGGAAAAGTGTGATGTGCAGACACCAGAGAGCCTGCCCGAGGCTGGCGCAATCCAACATGGCCTGGGGCCCCAAGGGAAGGGAGGTGGGGAGGTGAGGATGGATAAGGGTGGGGTCCTGGGGGTGCTGGTGGCCGCACACATGTACCCTGGGCACTGGGCAAAGGTCCCGCTCCAGAACAGCCTCACCTGGCGCAGGAGATTGTCCTCATGGTGCCGGATGGGAATGTTCTCGTACTCCGCAGCGTTGGAGATGATCTCAATGAGCCCGCGCACCTTGGTCTTGGCATTCAGCGACATGCTGAAGAGCTCTGCACAGGAATGAGTGAGCTGCCTGGGCTGCACTGCACTCTCACAATCCACCCCGCTGACACGCGGGGGCACTGTGGCCCTGTCACATCACCCACACAAGAGCAGGCAGGCAGGCAGGCAGGCAGGCAGGCAGGCACAAAGAAACGGTCACTGCGCCTGTGCCTCAACTCACCGATGGTGGTGTAGTTGATGTAGTAATAGGCAGCAATCATGCCCAGGTTCAGGGGCGCCACGTCCATCTCGTCCTCAATGCTGATGCACTTGGACTGCTCCAGGTCACTCAGTGTCTGTTCCACCAGCTCAGACAAGTGGTCAGACAAGTGGCGATGGGAGATGCCTGGGGGGACGAGAAGCCGGCAGGTGGGTCAAGGAAACACCCCATGGGGGTGGGGAGAACCACCAGGGACCCCTGGACTCTGGAGCCCACTGACCCTGCAAATTGTAGTAATTAGGGTTCTGCGTCATCCGACGGTACAGAAAGGTCCAGGTGAGGTAGTCCACAGCATCCTGCTTGTTCTCGATGGTCTTGGTGACAATCTCAGCATTGAAATGGTCATGCATACAGTGGTCCAGGTGAGATTCCACTGGCAAAGGCTCATACAAAAACTTTTTGAAGAAATCCTGTGGTTTGGAGAGGGGAGAAATAAAAACAAAATATTGCAAAAAGGTAAATCAAAATCAAGTGGAAATAACAAAAGTAGAAAAAGACTAAAATGTTTTTAAAAGGTATCTATCATAAAAAAGAAACAGGACTCTGTTAAACAGGGCTCAGGATGTCCAGGTGTCACCTGCCTCCAAGACTGACCTTTTTGGAGCCCTGACACATGATGACACAGCGGCCCTCGTCATCTTGCAGGGGGCGGTTGGCGTGACCCACCATCTGCAGCACGTCATAGATGGGGTA